ATTCAGAGATGGTCTTTCCCTTTTCACGTAAATGGCCTCCTTGACTCCACGCTCAAACCAGCGTTCCTCCCTGTTCAAGATGTGTACATCCTCATCATTGAAAGAGTGTCCACTGGCCTGTAGGAGTAAATAGACTGCAGAGTCCTGGCTTGACAAGGTGGCTCTTCTGTGTTGTGCCATCCGCTTCGCCAGAAGTTGTTTGGTTTCCCCGATGCATAAATCCTATTTAGTCCACCTATATAAAACACCCCATCAGACACATGGTATTTTCCTCAGCACTTCACAACTGCCGCAAGGTTTATTGTTTTAACGGACCCCAGACACAGCGGTGTGAGGTAGTTTGCACCGTCATGGTGCACATCCTTTAATTTGGCCGTGTAGAAAGCATCGTTTGTTTGGAACACATCAGCAGTAGGGATGGGTATCGAAACCCGGTTCTTGCTGAGAACCGGTTCCCACTGTTTCAATTCCTTGGAATTGTTTGACATTTTTGCAAACGATTCCCTTATCGATTCCAGTCGCCACGAATGACGTCACCACGTTGCGGAGCGTCATGTACCTGGCAGGAAACATGGCAGCTCAAATGCTCAAAAGTTTGGTTACACTTTACGAGAACGGATGACAACAGGGTAACTTGCAATACTTGCATAGTAGATGTTTCATTTAATGGAGGAAACACTATGAATATGCAAAAGCATTTGCTCACAAAACACGCGATGACATTAAATGAATGTCGTGTTTTTAATTCCGCTCCGGACTCGTGAATCTCAACCCAGCAGCAGCGGTAACGTTTGTACGTCGTCGCCCGTTAATGCGGCATGTAAATAATCAACTAACAGTGCATATTATGTTAACACGATCTGCCTTCTTACAAACCTGCCATTACTGTGCATTTAGGTGACCATGATGAGAGAGACAGTCTGGCTCAGATGCTGGCAGTTCTCGCTGCAGTCTATAGCTGCATATAGCAGCTATAGACTGGGGCATTTGCCCGGTGGGCCGATGGTGATTTTTCGTTTTTATGGGCCGATGGGTTTTTTGGTTGGTTTTTTTTTGCTTTTTCCCCGTGACGGTATAAACACTGAAAGGTGGTGGATTGGCCAGATGCTGGGAGATGTGTAAAAATAACTCAGTTGTTTGGTGGTGGCTATTGCGGAGCTTTCACAGATTGAGTAACATTAGCAGGTGGTGGAGGCCAGCAGGTGCAGCACGCTGGCAGGTGGATGACGGAAAGGCAGGAGGAGGAGAGACCCAAGGCGGTGAACTGAACTTCAGGTAAGAAGTTATGACCTGCAGTCTATCTGGGTCAGATATAAACAAAGTTTAGGTGGAGTTTACTTTCGTTATGCTGACTTTTTACAATGAGTTACAATAACTCGTACTGCGAACCAGCTAGCATGACGGAGTTTCTATACAGCTGGGCGGGTGTTATGATATTATTGATGTTGAACTTGTTTTATCTTATTTTATTTATAAGGTTAGTTATTAGAGTTTCCAACCGTCCCGTAAAAAATGGAATGGTCTCATATTCAGAGAAAATATTGTGCGTTTGGTATTGAGGTGAAAAGGAACACAGTTTGTCCCGGACACAAAGTTGGAGTTATTCGGTGTCTTTGCTGCACAGCTGCCTCTTCTCCTCTCATTCTCTCCCGTTTCTACTTTAATCATGAAACTGATCAATGATCAGCTGATCGGCTTTTCTCTCTT